AGCAGAACGTAAGCCCCGCGCTTGCACATCGAAGCTTGCGGGCGGCGTTGGGGGGGCCGAGAGGGGAGGGGAGGTGGATGGAAGATGCTCGGCCCGCGAAGCTGCGGAACGAGCAGCCCAACAAGATGCCCTAAACTCTAAACCCTAAGCCCGAAGTCCGAAATCCTAAGCCCTGTACCCTAACCCCTAAGCTCTCAAGTGACAAGCCCCCCGATTAGAGGTTTGGGGAGGGTCACACACCGTCGGGCTTCAGTTGCGCAACTCGACGTTCCGTGGCTTACGACCTTCTCTGAAAGGGGGCTCTACGACCCCCTAAACCCTAAACCCTAAACGCTATACCCTAAACCTTAAACCCTAAACCCTGCTTATAACTTATAGCCTGGCTGCAAGCCTTCCAGCTGCTCGCAATCTCCCGAGCCGACCCTCAAAAAGATGCAAGGAGCCTCCAAAACCCCTCAAAAAAGGCGCCCCAAACCCCTAAGCCCTGAAAAGGGTTTAGGGTTTAGGGTTAGTTTCGGGTTTAGGGTTCAGGGTTCAGGGTGTAGGCTTTAGGGTTTAGGGTATAGGGTATCGGGCATAGGGTTTAGGGTTTGGGTCCCTTATCCTCAAAATAAGCCCTGAAAAGGCATTCGAGTCAAACCTTTAGGGTTTAGGGTTTCGGGTTAGGGTTTAGAGTTTAGGGTCTCGGGTTTAGGGTTTGGGATGTTCCCCCTTATACTAACAGTCCTTAATAGGGATGATAATAGGGGGTACTACAATCCCTATGAAGGACTGTTGGTATAAGGGGGAACATCCCAAATCATACCCTTAATCTCAGGTCGGGTCCATGTGCCCTTAGTATGGTCCCTTACCCTTGCTTATAGGGATCCGAAGTATGGGCCCTCATTACGTATCGTGCAGATGAGGGTGATATGAATTTAGGGCCCATGCTTGGTGCCTCAGGCTTAAAGAGCAGTCGACTTGTAAGTGGAATGGCAAGTGGGACCCACCCTACATAGAACTCACTTCTCCAAGGAATGCAAGAGAAGGCAGGAAGTGCCCTAACAAGTCTTTAAAGTCTAAACTTCACCTCTTGGCGAAGTAAGAGAACTCAATCAAAAAAATGGAATGGTGTCGAGGGCGTAGAAGACGGACTCTCAACAGCGCTAGTTGTGAGCGCGGCGGAAAACCCCCACCTACTTGGAGGTTCAGGGTACTTAGCAACCCGAATATACGTGTAGTTTTAACCCACTCATAAGCTGCTTAAGTCCTCCAATAGGGTTATGACTGGTTTATAACTACAGGTATAATTGGGTTACTAAGTACTAAGTAAACTTGCAAAGCAGTGCCCTTACTCCCAAACCCTGCCTTCAAGCCCTGAAAGCCCTAAAGCCCTTAAACCTCAAAGCCTTAAAATACCCCAAGCCCTGCAAACCCCAAGCAACCAGATCGAAACCAAAAAAGCTTAAACACCCAAAAAGCTCAAAGCCCTTAAGACAAAAACTGATAGAACAGACATATCTAAGAATAACAGTATAACACAAAAAATAAGCAAATAACCTCCTTGTTTACATATTCGAGAAAATTTTATTCAAAAAACTTGGAGATGTTGCTCCTCGCCGCCTTGCGCAAGGCGCTGGCGCCTGGGAGGAGGCTCCTGGTCGGGGAAGGTTTAGGGCTAACCCGTTGCTCTTTTTAACTCGTTTAACCTCTTTCGGGCTCTTTTGCGGCTCTTTTGGGGCTTTTTGGCTACGGGTGGTTGGTAGGGTGTAGGGTTTAGGAGATTCAGGGCTTTCGGGGGGTTCTAAGGTGTGAGGGTTTAGGTTTTCAGGTTGGATGTTGGTTGGGGTTTTAGGGCTTGGGGCTTAGGGCTTGGGGGCTTCCGGGGCTTCGCCAGGTTGCGACGGATGCCGGGGGCGTTAACCTTCAGGAACTCGGCCGAGGCAAAGAAAAACCCCAAACCCTAAACCCTGAGTCCAAACCTTCACCTCCTACACCCTACACCCTCAACACCCCCTAAACCCTCAACCCTGCACCCTAAACCCCTATACCCCAACCCCTGAACCCCAGACCCCTAGACCCCTAAACCCTAGATCCCCAAAACCTTGCAGACCAAAGTTTTCAGCCCAAGGTCTCCGGACACTGCAACAGTTTACTTAGTCCCTGTTCCCCTAGGAAGAAAAAACTTTTTGTTCATATATAAGAAAGCCCATAACCCAAAAAGGTAAAAAGGATCCCTAACACTGATCTAGTTTAGAGCCGTTTAGGGGCCCTTGGGGCTGAGGTTTCAGGAGTTTGCGGGCTTTCGGTGTGGGAGCTTAGGAGCTGTTGTAGGGTTTCTTAAGGGAGTTTCAAGGGGGTATGTAACTTAAGGTTCCCTAATACTCCCCACTACTCCCTGAGGCTCCCTAAGCTTCCCTAAGGTGCCCACATATTGCCTAGGTACCTACCCCCCATGAACCCCCCTCCCTACTTAAGGACCCTATAATAAGTTTATGGTACAGAATTTTAAGGGCTTTCGGTTTAGGAGTTTAGGGTGTCAGGGTTAGGGTTAGGCGCTTGCGAGCTTATGATGTATTGACTTGGTTGAACGGAATGCCAACGCGTCTGGGGAACACCTACCTCAGGAACTGGCTCAGGAAATATATTTGGTCACTTCTCTATCGTAGCTTATGGTCCGTTGCGGGGTTGCTATCATAAGGTTTGGGGTACCCAGAAACTACGATTTGTTTAAGAGCCTCCAGAAAACAAAAGATCATGATCCCTTTACTGCCCTTATAAGGACGATGCTTTCTTATTCTTTGTTTGGGGGGGGGGGTGTTTGACAAGATCGACCCAGAGTTCCTCAGCCCCCCCCAGGAACGATTAGGGTCTAGGGTCTATAGGGTCTAGGGTCTATAGGGTCCCAGGGTTTAGGGGTTTGGGGTTTGGGCGCCCTCCTGCGCGTGCGGAGTCAGCTTGGTGCGGTAGTGATACTGCAGCGGCGACGGCCTCGGACAAACATCGGCGGCCCAGAGGGGCAACAGATGGGACGCTGCAATCCATGGAGCAGGTGTACAGTTCTACTTCACATCTGGCATAATTACAATAGAAATCCTTAGGGGTTGAGGCGAAACCTGAAATCCTTGATTCCTTGAATCCCAAGCTCCAAAGACCTCGACCGCGCTTCGGTTTTGTTTTTTCGGCGTAGGGACCTCCCAGCAGCGCTGGTGGCCCAGGTTTTGCTCAAATAGGCTGTGCTCTGAAAATTCCGGGGTCGTTTCACGACACATAAAACTGGCCGGCATCACTGGAGAAAAAGAGGGTGTTGGGGTGCAAGGGGGAGGGGGTTAAAGTTTTGGGTTTAGGGTTTAGGGTTGCGGTTTAAGGTTTCCCTGGCTGTTGGAATGCAGAGGTCCTGGAGCGGATGTCTTGGAAACCCGGTGATGGGCCGGAGTACGAAAACTACCTAGCTGCCACTCATGCTTGCTGCTCAACTGGTGAAAACCCTACACCCTAAGCCCTAAAAGTCGGCGCAGTCATTCACTTGATCACTCGATCTTGCCACTGGTCTGCACCTCCAGCCGACGCATGCAACATGCTCCAGAGCTCGACGTAACTGAGTCATTTTGGGGTTTAGGGTTTAGGGTTTAGGGTTTGGGGTTCATGGCCTGAGTCTACACCTCAAGGCACTTGAAGTGCTTGAGCAAGTTGCAAATTTCGTTGCTGCGTGGGTATGTCTCAGACGGGGTCCCCCTTATACACCCCCCAAGCTACGGTAGTCCTATCTTCGTCCTTCTTTTCCCTTCGCAGACCTTGCGGGTAGCGCCAAGATTGTTGGAGGACTTCCCAGCTGGCTCCACAAGCAGATATGCAAGCACGCAGCTGCTGGCATTCCGCGAAGGATGCGACAAGGAAGCTTAGGGCCCTTCAGTGTTTAGCAGTCTGGGCATGTCTTGTGGTTTGCGGTGGCTAGAATTTAGCTGCTTACTTGGAGGTTCTGTACTTTTAACCCAATGTAGAACTTATATCTCTATTCAGGGTACGCAACGGGCTGATAAGACCCTGAACCTCCAAGTAGGGGCTCGAGCAGGGCTCGCGGGCGAGTAGAGCTGGTGGAGGGTGTGAAAGTTTGTCGGCCCTCTCTTAGAACAACAACATCCAAAATACACTCCCAGCTTAGGGTTTCGGGTTTCGGGCCTCCGAGCCCACAAACACTACAGCAGTGAGGCCCCTAGCTTCCCGAATTCGATGCCAAAAAGCGGCTCATGTTCTCCGAAAACTATGCTGCCGGATTCTCCTTAGGGCACAGGCCTATAGATTTACGGAGTCTGGACATCCTAGACCATCCGCCTCGGAACCTTGAACCCTGGAATCCTAGAACCTAAACCCTAAACCCTAAACCCTAAACCCCAAACCCAAAACCCTAAACCCCAAACCCTAAGAGTCCTCTCCTACGCCCCACTGAGAATCGGGGCCTGTAACCTATGTCGCGGTGGCGCCTCGTCAAATGCAGCCAGGCGATTCCCGACCATCTCCGCATGGATCTGTGCCCTGCGAAGAGAGGGCGGATTGCCCTGCTGCATGTGCTCCAAAGCACGCAACTTGCACAAGGCGACGCGGAGTCTCATCACGAGACGCCTACCAAAAGCCGAATGGGTAAGTGTCAAGTGCGCGGGCTGTGACAGTCTTGGTTGGTGGCCATAGGCCATCTACTGGGACTACTGGGACTCTTCAACTCAACCACCAAAAATGTGCCACCTTTGACAAGTACCCGGGTCGTGCTCTATACATATCAGATGTTCAAAAACTGCATCCGAATTTCCGGGGCCCGCGGTGCTGCAGCGAATGGGGCAGAGCGCAATCCGATGGCATACGCCCTGAGCCAGAATTCGAAACTCAGACACATCCAAACTTAACCCAAAACCCAAAAGCGTATAAACCCTAAACCCAGTCTGCTCCGCTGCCCCAAGGGAAGCCCCAGCCGGGGTGTTGCCCCTAGTGGGCTTCCTACAGCACACATCTTTCGCAAGGAGGCCAAACTAGGAGCTTCCCACGGGGTCGTAGCCAGACCCTCCTTCTCTGGGCTTGCCGGAAGGCTTTGATCCCATGAGGTTTGGAAAGCCAGTGCCGGGAGAGCCAAAGATCTTCGCCTGCACAGCTGGATGTTGGCTCGCGGCCCCGAGTCCAAGCACGCAAGCCGCAAGGATCAAGGCAATCGGCACCCAATTCACCCCCGCAGCCACAGGCTTTGCCACAGGCTTAGGCTTTGCCACAGGCTTTGCCACAGGCTTTGCCAAAGGCTTTGCCACAGGCTTGGCCACAGCCTTTGTCGCAGGCTGTGCCACAGCCTTTGTCACAGGCTTTGCCGCAGGCTTTGCCGCAGGCTTTGCCGCAGGCTCTGCACCGGGTTCATCCTGTTCCTCAGGCTTGGGCTCTCTCACCACGGGCTTGGGCTCTACCACCGCGGGCTTGAGCTTGGGCTTGGCCTGCACCTCAGGCTTCGCCACGTTCTTTGCCACGTTCTTCGCCACGTTCTTTGCCTCGTTCTTTGCCACGGGCGTCGACTCCTGCGGCTTGCAATCTCGCATCAGTTGCTCCAGCCTTTTCCTCGGATGTGGCCCTTAAAGCAGCCTCTCAAGAATACTCCGGGGAAGATTCTCCCCTCTTTCCGCTAAACCCCAAAAAAAGGCGGAAAAAAAGACACACAGACACACACACATCCCAAGACCCTAGAACCTACCGAGACTCTCCGCATCGATGATCTTCTTCTTGCGCCTGGAGATGCACTGATGGGGATGCCAGTGAGGGTGGCCTTCTACTTCCACCTCGCTCTCGCAGCTTAACGAGAAGTTGGCGTGGCGGCCTTCCCAGGGCCCCCAGAATCGATGTAGGGCTTAGGGGCTTTGGGGATGGGGTCAAACTCTTATAAGGGCCTGCGCAGCATGGGGCTTCTCTTATTCTTATTCTTACTCTTATTCTGATTATGTTTCTTCTTCTTCGTCTTAGTTCTTAGTTCTTACTTATTACCTTTTTCTTGAGGGGGAGCCGCGGGGGGGGGGGGGGGGGGGGGGGGGGGGGGTAAAAGCCATTGACTGCAAGACACCGGAATTGCTTCAGACCCAAGCCGAGACACGAAAGGCCCTCTCCTAAAACTACTTGGAGGTTCAGGGAAACCCAAGTATACGTGTATAGTTATAACTGTCAACGTATAGGCCCCTGAAGTGCCCCAAGAGGGTTACAATGGGGCTATAAGTACACTTAGACTATACTCTGCTTAGAACCTTATTAAAATAGTATTTTTAGTATCCTCTTGGGTTTTATATAAACCAATATATTCTTAATATTAATTCCCAAGGGGGATGTAGCAGAATTGGGTTCCTAAGAACTATGAAAGTCCAAGTGGTGGCATGGCTCGCATATAGATTCAATAGTACCCAAACATTGATAAGGGAATGCTAGCACTCCGTAAGGGTCCAGGTACCTGTATAGTACATACTTGGGACCTTAAAGGGCTTCCCATGTAGTAGCTTTAGGGGGCCCAGGTATGTCCTAAAAAAGGTACATGGGCACTCAGGGGCTGCAGGAACACAGAAACTAAGCTTCGTAGCTTTATCGCGTTGGTGCCATGGGATCTTGGAGTACAGAACCGGGGGCTGGCAGAGGCCCCAAGGGACGAGAGGACAAGGAGGCCCAAAAGGCCCATGGGCCTGAAGAGGGTTCATAGAGTTCATATCCATAGGATTTGGGGTTTAGGATTTAGGGTTTAGGATCTAGGGTTTAGGGCGCAGGCCATGTTCACAATTCCATATGTTTCGCCCCCCCCCCTCCCCCCTTTCGCGGCCTTTCAGGACCTGCGCGTGCCGCTGGACCATGTCATTTTTGCAGCCCACCTCTTTGCTTGGGGGTTTGGGGTTCAGGGTTTAGGGTTGAGGGTTTTTGGGGTTTACGATATTAGGGGTACCCTATTGGGGTCTTTACTAGAAGGGAATCCTACTACTTGAGGGACTATTTTAAGGGCACCTTATTGGGTCCTCATTATGAGGGGGACCATTTTCGGGGTACCACTTTTCGTAAACGCCCGCCTCTTGGCTAACGAACTGGCTGCTGAAGGAATCATGGCTGACCTTGAGGACACAGTGGTACCTTGGTAGCACAGTAACCACATTACATTGAGGTTTAGGGTTTAGGGTTTAGGGTTTAGGGTTCAGGGTTTAAGGTTTAGGGTTTAGGGTTTAGGGCCTTTGTTGGGGGCTGGTTACATTTACCAGGGAACCCGGAACCCAGAAAGATGCAAAAAAGGGCTACAAAGCCTACCTCAGACTGTACCAAGGTACTCCTTAAGTGGAGAATGCGCTTCATGCATCTTTAGAGCCTGGGCATTGTTGTAGACCGTGTTATGCTCAAAGAGGTCCTCATGGTGGGTAAGTCCAACCCACAGCTCACACCGTTTCCTTAGTTGCTGAGTTCATAAGCCCCCACATTCAGTTCTATGGGGATTCCCAAGCAATGTAAAGTGTACTCATTCAGCTAATAAGTTTCTCCTCTACTGGGCCAAGCTCGTAGCCCTTGCACTCCTTCGATCCGGCACACAGAGCGCGGCACTTTTCAGGGCTTACCCCATCCTTCTCCGGGTTCTTGTCAGACAGCACCGTACCCTCCTTCCCAGTGGGTCCCAGGTGGGAGTCCACCTTGTCACCGCGGCACACCGAACCCGGACCCAGGTTTAAGAATTCCACAAGCTTGTCCTCGGTGATGCCCTCGAAGTTGATGGCATCAAAATCGTGGCCATGGTGGGTGTAGGGATGTCCGAGATGCCCTGCAGGTTCTCCCATCCACAGGCACGCGCAGAGGGCGAGCGTGAGCAGGAGAACCCCACCCGCTGCCACTGCCACCGTGCCACTTGGCCGACGCCCTGCAGCTGCCGTGTGCGGGGTCTGCACATCCCCATTCTCAACGTCCTCGCTTTCGACGAACGGCTGAAGAGCAGGCGACATGGGCAAATCGAGCTGAGGGGTATATCTTGGACTTCTGCTCGACGCCTTGGCAGAGCGAGCCCCCTCTGATGTCTGTGTGGAAAACGCTGCCCTTCTCCAGGCTGTCTATAATTTGCTAACTCCAAAACACTGACATGGCAACACGCTCGACCGTTGAACCCTAAGCCCTAGACCCTGAACCTTCATGACAAGCGACAAGGCTGGTGTTTTTGGGTCCAACTTTGCCTGCACTTACTCAAAGAGCCTGAACATTGAGAACGCCATGGTGCAGCAAGACAGTGGGAGTGAGCATGTAGGGTTTAGGGTTTAGGGTTTAGGGTTTAGGGTTTAGGGTTTAGGGTTCCTCTCATCCAAAGAAAATCGGAGAACCCAGGGCAGGTTCTTTGCAAGTTTCCCAGGCCTCGGCTGCGTAAGAGATGGGCGTGCCCGCGCGAGAGAAGGAAGAACCCCTACTTTGGAAAACCCTAAACCCTAAACCCTAAACCCTAACCCTAAACCCTAAACCCTAAACCCCATGGTGCTTAGGAACCCAATTATTACTGTACTTATAGCCCAATTACAACCCCATTAGGGTCCTTAAGGGGCTTCGAAGTGGGTTGTACCTACGCTTACAATAGGGTTACTAAGTGCCCTGGACCTCCAAGTATTCAGAAGTCATAAGCTTTAGCAAGAACAACCATCAACACGAATTCACTTCCACGACCCCGAAACCTTAAACCCTGAACTCTTAACCCTGGACCCTCAAGCCTCAACCCTAAACCCTAAACCCTAAACCCTAAACCCTCAACCCTCAACCCTTAACCCTATCCATAAACCCTAAACCCCAACTGCTCCCACAGTCCGGCGGATATCCGAAACCCTAAACCGTATAGACCCTAAGCTCTAAACCCTATAATAAACCCTAAACCCTAAACCCTAAACCCTGAACCCTAAACCCTAAACCCTAAACCCTAAACCCTAAACCCTAAACCCTAAACCCCCCCCCCCTGCGCCTGGACTGCCCCTCGTCGAACGGAGGCACCCTGGGCCCTGCAGGTCAAAGCGGTGGGCGCAGCGCTTATTGTTGAAGGCCACGAGGTCACCGCCTGGTTGAGGGTTTGGGGTTTAGGGTTTAGGGTTTGGGGTTTAGGGTTTGGGGTCTAGGGTTTAGGGTTTGGGGCTTTGGGTTGAGGGTTTGGGGTTTAGGGTTCCAGGTTGAGGGATTCCACTACTTTAGCTCGGATGCTTGCCCTTTGCACGGAGAGGGTTAGGGTCTAGGGGTTTGGGCGCCCTGAGCATTGTTTAAGAAACCGTGTCTGGCGATGATTGAAGGAATGCATGAGCGGCTGTTGACCTTGTTTTGCGGGGTTTGGGTTTGGGTTTAATTAGAGTTTAGGGTTTGAAGTATGAACTTGCCGAGACCTCAACCACACATGGGTAGTGCTCCGGCAAACTCTTACTGAGTGCCGGATTCAAAGAAAACTACCTCAACCATACACCCTAAACCCTAAAACCTAAACTCGAAGCCCTAAACCCTGCACCACACAACCTAACTTGGCTGCACTTAGGAGGGCAGCTATAAATTACATTTTTTGCTGCCTTAATCAGAAACCCAATAAACTCCAAAAAGGTAAGGATCTAAAGTTACAGTAAAGTACCACACAGCTACAGCCTCCACCCTACACCCCACACCCGAAATCCTCTGCAGGGCCTTGAGACTTCTGGGCAGCCTGAGGTTCCGACATTGCAATTCGAAGTCCTCCTTCCAGCGCTCCTGTTGGCTCTGTTGGCGGTGGGCGAAGACCCTGAAACCCCTAGAACCCCCAAAGCCCTAAACGGGCCCTAAACCCTAAACCCTAAACCCGAAACCCTAAGCCCGCAACCTTAAAGCCTTGAAGAGCTTGAAGCTTGGAGCCCTTTCACCCTTACCGAGCGCTTCGAACTGCAAACCCTCTAGATGCCCCCTACACAGCCCAAGGGCGCACACTTCACAACCAGCTAAGACAGGTAGGGGACCAGATGCATGCACCCACCCCTTTTTGAAAACCTAGCCGCCGCACTCAGCAACCTGGCCAAGTGCTTGGGGCTTATTTTCGGTTCTTGGTAGGGTTTCGGGCTTTCTGTTTAAGGGCTTAAGGGAGTTCAGGCTCGGGCTTCGGGGTTTGTAGGGCTTGCAGGACCCTAAACCCTAAACCCTAAACCCTAAACCCGAAACCCTGTTGGTAGGGCTAAGGGGGGCCTGGGACCCTCAAAACCGTGCCCCTTTCGGCCAAGGAGCTGCGAGCTGCAAAATGCCTACAGGGGGCTTCGGGTTTAGGGTTTAGGGTTTAGGGTTTAGGGTTTAGGGTTTAGGGTTTAGGGTTTAGGGTTTAGGGTTTAGGGTTTAGGGTTTAGGGTTTAGGGTTTAGGGTCTCGACCCAAGAGTAAGCTGGGAACAAAACGGGTGCCTTTTTTTTTCTGTTTACAGGGGCTTCAGAATCTGATTCCTACCTGGAAGGTTCATGGGAAGTTAATATGTAGATGTAGAGGTCTATGCCTATGCACCCTAAGTAGGGTTATAACCATACCTACCCTACGTATATGTAACCCAACTTATAAGTACCCCTAAACCCTGGACCCAAAGACAACCCTAAACCCAAATTATCCTAAACCCTAAACCCTACAGTACTTCTAAGTACCCATGAACCTCCAAGTAGGGTTTTAAGGGGGCTCCAGGTTCAGGGGGGCCCTTGGGGCATTTTGGGGTATGAAGGACTCCAAGAAGCCGCTTTCTGGGTCTTAGTTAAGGTTCTTTAGGGCTCCTTTGGGTTCCTTGCGGAAACCCTAAACCCTAAACCCTAAACCCTAAACCCTGAACCCTAAACCCTAAACCGCGGGTTCCTGAGCGTTCTCAAGGGCTTTAGGGTTTTAGGGTTTCTGGAGTCTTTTCGGGGTTTGGGAGGTGTCGGCCTTGAGATTTGCAAGGGCTGTGGCCTCTAGTGTCTCTCAAGCCCTCGGACGACAAGAAGCAACGGCCCTGCAAAACCCCTAAACCCTAGACCTCGACGATGACCGCCAATGCCTCCCACTATCCTCCATGTCAAAAACCCTAAAGACCTAGAAGGGGTGTAGAGTTTAGGGTTTAGGGGTTCGGGTTTAGGGTTTAGGGGCTTTTGGTGGTCTTTGGGGTTTAAGGGGCCTTAAACACCAATCCTTGCCCGGCCCGAAATCTTCAACCCACACTGGTCATGAGGACGCGAATGCCGACCGCGCCACGCGCGTAGGCCGCCAGCACCTCTGGCGGACCTTCTGCTTCGTAGCGAGAAGCCTCCCGGAGATCGAAGATCACCTTGATAATAATATGATTTCTTAAAAACACATATTAGTTAAAGCATCTATCTAGAGTGATAGTAGTTTCGTGGTGTTGGGGGAGAGGGCAGGGTTTAGGGTTTGGGTTTAGTAGGGTTCAGGGTTCAGGGTGTAGGGTTCAGGGTTTAGGGTTTAGGGTTGAGGGCTTATAGGGCCAGACAGTCGGAGCAAGATCTCCCCCAAAGCACTCAGGGTTTAGGGTTCAGGTTTAGGGTTTAGGGTTTAGGGTTTAGGGTTTAGGGTTTAGGGTTTAGGGTTTAGGGTTTAGGGGTTGCACTTCAAGCAATAAACAGTCCCCAGGTAATGGAAGTTGGACTCTCTGGGGCACGTCACGTCAGTCGGCTTCGGGCTGGCTTTTCTGGCTGGTTCTTAGTAGGGAAGGAGGGAATGAGGGCCCTATATATACATATATGTATATATATATATATATATATATATATATTAGGGGATTCTAGAGGGCCCTATATATACCCTGTAAGGGATTCTATGAGGGCCCTATATATACCCTTTAAGGGATTTTAGAGGGTCCCTATATATACCCTTTAAGGGATCCTTCATTCCCTACTAAGAACCAGGGGCTTTTGACAAGCATCAGACTCACGCTATCGGATCCATAAGTGCAAGCTGCCTGCTTTGCAGTGGGCCTGCGATTGCAGTCATCTGCCACAGGTACACGAAGGCATGTGCAATCCTAAACCCTAAACCCTAAACCCTAAACCCTAAACCCTAAACCCTCAACCCTAAACCCTGAATGCCTCTTTAGGCCTAACGTGCCCCGGGTGCCTCGTGACCTGTCGGACTCAGCGTCTGACTTTGGGAAGATCGCTGTAAGCAAGTGCGGTGGTCAAACCTTCGAGCCCTGCACTCAGAACAGTTTTTTTTGTGGAGGGTTTGGGGTTGGTTTGGGGTTTAGGGTCATAGGGTTTAGGGTTTAGGGTTTAGGGTTTAGGGTTTAGGGTTTAGGGATTTATAGGCTGTAAGGGTAGATAGGGTCCTAAAAGAACGGGCTGAAGTACTGCCCTTCTTGCGGACAACGCCCTCGATCGTTACAAGAGCCACGTACTGCAGCTCGAGTTCAAGCAGGGCTTCTGTTGAGGCAGGAACCGAACGTAGTGCGGTACATACTTCTGCAAGACACATGTTTGGGAGACGCGAAGCAGCCATCTACATCGATAGATAGGTTCATCATCGCCATGGCAGCTTTCCCAAACACAAGTCTTGGTTTCTGAAACGCCTGAAACGGAAAAGCGCGATGTCCCAAACTTCCCCACATCGAATCATGAGCTGCGTCAGACACGCCACAAAATTCTTGGCAAGGGCACCGCGCGTCGTTACACCATACGGCTACAGGCGACGGCACACAGCCTGTCTTCCGGCGATCTTCACCGAAGAAGGTGCAGACCCGTAAAGCTGGAAAGGTCAACCCACAGTGTGCGGGGATGAGTGGAGCCTGCTGGAGCAACTCACTCCCAAGAAACAGCCCGCGTCGCGCCAGGTTAAGATGCCTGGGCACCTCACGGGGCGGGGGGGGGGGTTTAAAACGGAGGGACTCTCGCATCTTGCTGGCTCTGGGTTGGGATTTACTGATCTTTAGGGCTAAGGGTTGAGGGTCTTGGGGTTTCGGGTGTAGGGATAGTATGGAACTAGGTACCCGACTATAACCCCTCAACCTC